ATTATCATCAACAAGGATCCAAAGAGGATGAATTTTAAACTTCAGTTAAACAGTGGTTCTCATACTTTGGCAACTATCCAAATAAATTGAAGAATTTGTTTAAGCCAATTCTTGGTCTCCATCTCCAGATTCAGTAGGTTTGGGGTGAAACACTACTTTTTATTTCTAATAAGGACCCACATGGTGGTAATGATGGTGGCCTGGGCCCAGGATTGAGAGCCACTGAGTGGGTGGATGTGGTTGAGGTAACAGGAATATGAGTGGAAATCTGTTCACTAAGGTGAATTGCTTGATAACTGTATGTGAAAATTGGGCTTCCTGTTATCAGACTGTTTTTAACCCTGCACTGTCCTTTTCTTACTTTATAAACTTTACTTACTTTATTGGTAGAGAAAATGCTCTCGTGAAGTTTTTTTTTTAAAGCTTTTACAAGCCTGATAAAATCTATAGACACTATTCCCAGAAAAGCATATGCACATACACAGAAGCACTGCTTATAATTTTGAGAAGTTCTTGGACATCTCCCCACCAGCCCACCCATGGACTCATACCAGGCAACAAATGCCTTGAGGCAAAGTCTTGGGTTCGCTTGAATGTGACGTACATTGTCTTCCTATATTTAACTTTTACAAATTTGTTTGTAAAATAAGAATAATAATAATAGTTATTAGCTCAAAGGTTGTAAAGATGTACCGGCCTAAGGCATACATAATTGTCCTTAGCAGGTCTGGCACAGAAAACATACTTAAACATTTAATGTTATTAAAATTGTGACCTTTTCTGTGGCAGAATAAAGGATGTAGCTAACCTGAAGTGAGAGGATGGTAGGAAGGAAAAGGTCAAGTAGGAAGGCTGGGAACATGGTGTCCTAGGCTCAGCAGTGTCATCACTAGAAGGTCTGTCACAGGCCTGTGAATGATGCAGATCTAAATATCTGCCTGATTAGGCAGCAGTTATCAAGGACAGCCAGGATAGCTGCTGTCAAAGGAGGCGCTCCTCCCTAGCCACAGGGTCCTTCCCAGGATGGTAAAGAATGGTACAGTATGCAGGAGGTCCTCCCTGTGGTGACTTTCTGGCCAAGCCACTGGTGGAGCCTCTTTCTTTCCATGTGGACTCCTCAAATTTTGCTCCCTGCCCCCAGTCTTCTCCAAGATGATGCTTCTCCTCCAGAACTTCCCTCTTCATGATCAAGATCTTATTTTGAAACCCAAATATTAAATGCTACCTTTTTCTCTCTGTAATCCAGCTACGACAGAGCTCATTCTTTTAGAAGTGGATTCCTCTGGCTATTAAGCAAAGAGTAACATTTCTGAGTCTCACTCTATTTCCAGTTGTGTATTTTTGCTAAAATCTGGTCTGAGCCTGACATGCCATGCTGTTCTCTGAGAGTCAGTGGGCAATGGAGCGTGGCTCTGTGGCCTGAGAGTCACAGTTTATCCACGCTGAACTATTACACTTTCCAAATGCCAATGCCTTGTCCTGCTCTCATGTTGATGCTTCCTGATGGAAAGATGGAAATGAAGAGTGCTAATAGGTCCATTTCCTAGCAAGAAGAAGTAGAATCTTGAGAAAGAATCATCAATGATTAATGTTTGTATAACAGTAAAATAAATAGGTGCATTGATCGTCATTTGGCCGTTACTTATTTAGCATCTACTATGTACACCACAAAATAGAAAATGCAAAGAAATGTAACACGAGCTCTTGTTTTGTATGGGCTCATAATCCAGCAAGGGAGATAGATACATGCAAAATAAACAAAACACAAAATGAACCATACCAAGGGTGATGGAGTTAAGACAGTGTCTCAGGCGAGAGGAAAGGAAAAAATTAACTCTGATATAGGTATCCATAAGTTTCTTGGGCAAGGGAGATTTAAACTTGATCTTAAAGGAGAAATGAGATTGCCCCAGCTGAATACGATAAAGAAAGACATTCTCCGCTGTGGAGTAATTTGAAGAAAGGCCAAAAATTGAGAATGTGCTTGGTATATTTGGGTCAGTATGAATTAACCAGTGTGACTATAATATGGATTGGGTGTAGGAATGTAGCACTTGAAGCTGATAAGACAAGTTGAAAGAGTATCGTGTGAAGGAAACTGAAAGAGTGTTTTGTCATTAGTTTCTTTTTTTTTTAAAGAGAGAGGGAGAGAGAGTTTTTTTTAATATTTATTTTTTAGTTATCAGTGGACACAACATCTTTGTATGTGGTGCTGAAGATCGAACCCGGGCCGCACGCATGCCAGGCGAGCGCGGTACCGCTGAGCCACATCCCCAGCCCTTGTCATTAGTTTCGATGCATCAGGGAAGTATTGAAGATCTTTGAGTAGGAAGATAACAAAAGCAAATCTCTTAACAAAAAAAAAGCCCCAATATCTTTGTGAAAACTAGACCATAGGTCAGGAAGGAAGCAAGACCTGGTGAAGCCAGAGAGGTGAGGTGGCTGGGAGGGAACAGAGAAGGAGGCATTTGAGAGACTAAATTTCACTACATGGTTCATGACCCCATGTAGTGAAGATAGCAGAGGGGAGTGGAGGGGGCCCTCCTTGGCTCACCCAGTCCCAGCTGGGATGACGTCATAAAGCAAACTGTGGGGTCAGGGGAAGAAATTGATCAGAGTTCAGAAGCCAGGTGGTGAGGAATACTCTCAGCCATTCCAAAAGAACTTTTTCACCCTGGAATGCCCACGAGGCAGCAAGCAGCCATCTACTTTGCATAGAACACCAAAATTACTGGCTCCCAGAACTGAAGTCTGACAGCTTTTAAAACCACTTTCAGGTGCTTTTCCAAGAGATTCTGATCTGAGAAGCTACGCTGGGTCAAGATAGGGGCCCGGCATCTGTATTTGTAAAGCTGCCAGGTGATTCTGATGCATAGCTGGATTTGGAATCTACTGTGGGACATTACCATTATGGTGAGGAATGTATAGAAAATACAGGGTTGACACTCACTTTGGCCAGTGAACACTGCTGGCTTGGAAACCTTAGGTTTTGGTCTCTAATAGTGCCTAAAGCAGTGATCTTGCAATGTCTTAGCTTACCTTCCATTCCTATCCCTGGTCCTCAGCAAACATATCAGGAGGTGGGAGAGGTTGAGTGCTTGATGATGTCAGCTAAACTTCTCAGAAGAATAACGTGCGTATGGTCATCATTTTCAATCTTTTGCTCAATAGAAAAAGAAAAAGAACTTGGTTGTGTCACAGGGACACCATGAGGGCATATTTTTACAGGATGCTTTGCAACTAGAAAACAGGCTATGTCACAATACTATCCATTTTCTGCTAGGCTTGTACAACAATCATAGCACATTTCCCCTCTTATCACTCTTATTTCTCAGAAAATGACACTACCCAGGTGAGGTAGGTGTTTAAAACTTCCCTCTACACATAGGCTCTGCGGGATTCAGTGACTCATCCAAATTGAGACAACTTGAGCTGGTGCTGAATTTGCCGTCCTCCAGAGCTCCGGTTCTGCTTCTATGCCATAATAGAGAAGGGCAACATAAAGGCATTTTTCTCTCCTTGTAAAAGAGAAAAAAATGGGGGAGGGGGAATTATTTAAACACACCTCACTCTTACTGCAATCACTGCATTGTTTTTTCCTGTAGAAACACCCTGTTGGTTTTTAAATCCCTTTAAACCTCCCCGGCACCTGTATGGCCTAGATCCAAGAATTATTACTGAATCCCTTGCTTTTTATATTCAGCCACATAGGAGTTTTTGTGATGGTAACTAGCTCCTGGTTCAGTTGAGAATTTCAGAGCCTCCAGGAGTTTTCTTCTTCCATAGAAGCTAGAAACCTGCAGTGCTCAGACCTGAATTTATTTCCTTCCTCCCTCTCTTTCTGTTTCTTTCTTTCTTTCTCAGGGTATGCTTCTCTCGCTTAGTTCTGCCACATATAATAATGTCATGGCACAACCTGTATTGTTCCTCTGTGATGATGCTTCTGAAATATTCACCAAAAGAGAGAGAGGGAGAAGGATAAGATGGGAGTCAGAGTCAGCGGCTGATGATATGTGCCATGACTTCTCTTCATGGCAAGAACTCAGGCTGCAAACATAATGAGAACTTCCCAACAAATTCATTATAACAAAGCACAATGTGAGCTCACTGGGCACAAAAATAGGCTGAAGGAAAGTGACTCCCACATAAGACCTAATTAAATACTTTGATGTCAGAGAGCAGAGCAGGGAGGGGTGGAAAATCAAATCAGACCAACGTGAAGAGCCTAAATTCAAATGGAAAAAGGAAATATTTCTCTCTCTCCCTCCCTGCACCCCCCCCACACACACACACAGCTCTCCTTTTCTTCTTTTGCCATGAAGAAGAATAAGTTCAGGAACAATGGGTTATAAATTCTTCAGCCAATTAGTCCAGTGCCTTACTACTGTTTATAATGCACAGAATGTCACAGGCTGTTTTGCAGCCGCCCCAAGTTGGTTTGTTAATAACAGGAAGCTAGCACTTCTCAGTACAGTGGATCAGCTACACGTGAAAATAAATGCAAAAAACCTGGAGGGGAATAGCAGCAGACTGAGAGTAGCCTTGATTTAATTTAACATTTGGGGGTCCACACACAAATGAGCATTTTAGTAGGCTTCATGGTGGAAGTTGCTGTCATTTGTAAAATATTCTGGCCAATTAGCTAATAGTGTGCTTGGATTTCTCCTGTTTTGATACAGTAATACTAAGTACATTGTGAAGCCCAATTATACAAATCATCCCCATATGCCATACCAGTCTTTCTTTATGAACTGTGTTTATAAATCCTGTGTGAGGAAATGTGTACTTCAGCAATTTAGACCATGTGTAAAAACATAGCCAATGGGATTGTCAAGAAAACAAGTTCCAGCCTAGGAAATCCTAATGCGTTCCGCTGGAGTAACAGGAGGGTGCCAGGGAGTGCAGTGCTCTGCTTAAATACATATTGCATTATAGTGTTTAACTGATGTAGGGGCTTCCACTTCCCTTTCTGTTATTTTTTTTTTCTTTTTCTCTTTTAGGATCCAACCTTGGAATTTTTGAGAAAATTTGGGATTGGTCTTCTCTCGGGGACAATAGCCTCAGTCATTAACATCCCTTTTGAT